TTCTGGGCTCCCTCCTGCGGGCCCCCCCCCGCGCCGCGCCGTAGAACTCAAAGGAGGAAAAGGTACCCACACCGTGACGCTCGCCTCGCTTTCGCCTTGTTGGGCCTCCTGGGAGGCCCTCGTCGCCACCGCTGGTTTCGCTTCGAACTCTGGCCAGAACGCACTCCAGGATCGGGTGCCTCGTGGTTTCCCCGGCAGAACCGCGCGGACCTCCAAACCAGTGGTGTTGTTGTGCAGTTCCTTGTTGTTCTTCTGCTCCGGGACATGTGCTTCCTTCGCGCGAGCTCTCGCTTCCCAGCGGTGCCCCCCCCCCCCCGAGCCGAGCGGAGGCCGCCGAGGAGGAGCCGGAGGAGGAGCTCGACCTGGGCGCCGCGGCCGAGTGCAGCGAGCTCCCGCCGGAGGATGCCGAGGACGAGGAGCTCGTCCACGTGGGGGGGCCCAGACACCCTACGCTCGAGGAGCAACCTGGCATTCAGTGGAGACCCATGCCAAGAAACACCCTGCTTGCCTCCAGAGCGCCCTGGGGTTCTTGGGTTTCGCCGGTTTTGCGATGGAAAGCGTGACGTTCCCACACCAAGATTCAATGGGCGTCCTGGGGTCTCAGGGTTGGGTTTCTTGTGGAAGGTTTCTTGTGGTCGGGCCCCCACCGTAAGCATGTACTTTTGGATGGCCGCGCTCATTTCTTGGATCGGCGCTGGGTCCCCCTCCCGAAGCGCGACAGGGGCGGCACCAGAGGCGCCGCCAGGGGGCTTCAGCGCCGATCCACGAAAGCCGCGCGGACCTACGAAAGTGCATGTTTATGTCAACTTCTGTCCCTCTGGTACGGACGATAACCAAACGTCTGATGTTTGGGTTCTTTGTGTGTGTGTTCTTTGTATGTTGGCGTTGTTTGGTTTATCTATTTCGACCCCTAGGGGTTGTTTTTGGGCCCGAGGGGAAGGGGTCCAGACCTCCTGGGCGGTTGATGAAATCCCGGGCCGCTCGAACGAGGATCGAGCAATTAGATGGGGTCAGATGATCGTGCCGCATCGCCGATGCATCGAGGATGCGGCTCGATTCCGAATCCGATGTTCTCCATCCCGACGTCGTTGATGTATCTGCGATTCAGCGCGATCCTCCGACCACATCTGCTCCGACCTTGTTTGGGTCTCGTCCACAAGCTGCACTGTTGGATGTCCTGAGCTCCATCGAACAAGAAACACCTGCATAGACGATAAGCGCGGATTTCTTGGATCGTCACTGGACCCCCATGGCTCCGCCTTTTCTACCTTCCCTGGCGCGCTCCTCGCGCCAGGAAGAGTGTCCAGCGCCGATCGGAAAACCCCAACGCGGGCCACCGATGGTTTATGTCTGCGTATATCACGGCACCCGGCCCCTGTCAGCCGAAGAATTAGGTGACCAACAAAAGGTCGTTGAGCGAAAACGTGCCCGCAGTTGTGACCGAACACGTAGCGTGACCGAAACAGTGACCGAATGTGAGGGAGTCGTTTTGAAATTCGGAACACACATATTTCGGGTCGCACTAAGGCGCATTCGGGCGTCAGTTTCGGGCACCTTCGTGCAGATGTTCGGGCACGTGTTCGGTCACGACGCCTCCCTGATAGAGACGAGGCTATGTGACGCACAGTGGAGGCCCATGCCAAGAAACGCCCGGCTTGCCTCCAGAGTGCCTTGGGTGTCTTGGGTTTCGGTGGTTCTGCCATGGAGAGCGTGACGCCCCCGCACCCCAGAACTTGGGTTTCTTGTGGAAGGTTTCTTTTGGTCGAGCCCCCACTGTTGGTGTGTCTTCTCGGGCGCACTCGGGCGCCCGTGTCGGGCACACTCGGGCAGTTGTTCTGGCACAGGTTCGGTCCCGACGCCACCCTGATGGAGACGAGACCATGTCGATGGGCGAATGTTCCACCACTACTACCATGCGTAGGACGGAGAAGAAGGGAGGATGAGGAGGTCCTCCTCCTCCCACTCCTCCCCCTCCTCCTCCTCCTCCTCCTCCCTCCTCCTCCTCCTCCTCCCCCTCCTCCTCCTCCCCCTCCTCCTCCTCCTCCTCCTCCTCCTCCTCCTCCTCCTCCTCCTCCTCCTCCTCCTCCTCCTCCTCCTCCTCCTCCCCCTCCTCCTCCTCCTCCTCCTCCTCCTCCTCCTCCTCACTCTCCTACCCATGGTTGTGGTGGTGGCAAAGTGGGCCCAGCATGTGTGACGCAGGTGTGTCGTCTGTCTTCCGGCCCGTCTCGATCTTCTGCCTCTCTCCGCCCTTTTGGATCGAGCCGGGACCTCGCCCAGCGCCGCTGCCTCTCAGGCGCGCGGCGGAGCTCCTGATTGCGCTGCCTCTGAAGGTGCCCTCTTCCTCTCCGTGGAGGAGGAGGAGGAGGAGGAGGAGCAAGAGTCCTCGACCCTCCTCGAGGAGGATCGAGGAGGAGGAGGAGGAGGATGAGGAGAAGCAAGATCCCTCGATCCTCCTCGGGGAGGATCTTGGAGACGGGCCAGCGCTCCTATTCAGCCACGCTAAGGGAATGGAGGGGGGGCGAGGGGTAGGGGGGAAGGCCTTTAGAGGCATCCCTGCTTCCTAGCAGGCGCTGGCCTTCTCTATAGATTTCGATGCAAGGCCCGCGCCTTCTAAGGAGCAGCTTCCTTCTAGGAAGCGTTCCCCCCTCCCCCCTGCCCCCTCTCTGCGCGCCGCCAGCCTAATCCCTCCTCCTCGATTCTCCTCCAGGACCATGGGCGGGCAAACGGTGCGGCCAGTAACGGCATGGTGCGATGCGTCACTGTAGGCAAGGGTGGTGTGTATGTGTTTTGTTTATGCTTGAGTTTGCGACCACGTACGCAACCTGCCCTTGCGGGTCATAATACCGACGCTGGGATAGTTACCGGACACCCCCGATTCGCCTTCTGGGGTCGGGTCCACATGTGGTTGTTTGGTGTGTGTGTGTGTGTCTGTGAATCTGTTTCTGGCGTTTTAGGGTGAGCCTCTCTGCGCAGCCAGCGTCTGCATCGGCAAGAACCACACTCCAGCTCACACTATTATCTGGCCACCGCGTTTGCCTGGCCCTTGGAGGGGGCGGATCGTGGAGGAGGATCGAGGATCAAGGTTCTTGGCCGTCTTGGGACGCTCTTTGAGCGCTCGAAGATCTCCAGAGACTTCTGGACACAGATAGGGAGACGGAGGAGGAGGAGGAGGAGGAGGAGGAGGAGGAGGAGGAGGAGGAGGAGGAGGAGGAGCCTCCTCCTCATCCTGCTCCCAGTCCGTGATCTTCGAGGAGAAGGGGGCGTGGTTGCATCCAAGGGCGTCCTCGGATGACACTTGGCGGAGTCCAAAGCCAGAAGAGAAAGCGGGGAGGAGGAGGAGGAGGAGGAGGAGGAGGAGGAGGAGGAGGGTTAGAGGCGGCAGGACAGAGAGGGAGGGCCGAGGATGGATTTTTCATACTTGAAGTTTGTTCGCAGTAGTTCGTCCTCCTTCTGCCTCCGGCTGAATATCCTACAAGATTTTTCTCAAATTGACACCCTGGACAGATGCGAGGGCCTTGAGTGGAGGAGGAGCAGGATGACGACAAGTAGGATCCTCCTTCGCTCTCCTCGATCATCCTTTTCCTCCCGTCCCAGTTGCTCATCGAGGAACAGGATCGACGAAGAGGAGGAGGATCGAGGACCGAGGTGTGTGAACGATTCTGGCCGTGTTTGGGTCATGCGGGTAGGAGGATGCCGATGAGGAGTTTTTCAGGAGCTACTCATCTCCACGTCCACACACCCTCTTCTACCGCCTTGCTGCTCTTCTCTCTCCCCTAACCCTGTCTGGAAGAGGCTCCGCCCTCTCCGCGTATTGTTTGTACCTTCGGAATTGGACACCCGTAGTTTGTCCTATGCATGTGTTGTTTGTACTTCGACTGTTTCCGTTTTCAACATGGCATTCCCGTTGCAGCGCGGGCCTCATCTTTGATCCGCGTTTTGTTCCCGTCGTTCAGAATGGCGCTCTCGCCCCAAAGTGGGCCGCTTCTCTTGATCCGAGTCGTTCATCGTTGTCGCCACCATTCTTTCCCCTCCTTCGCCTTCCCCTTGTCCTCCTGCTCCCCCCGCTGCTTCCACTCCAGTTCCCGCTGCTGCTGTTCGTCCTGGTTCTCCTCGTTCCTCAGCCTCCCTCGTTTCCTTCTGCTCAGCTGCTCCTCGTTTCCCTGGGCCTCCTGCTCCTCCCGCTTTTTTCACTCCACTTCTTGCTGCTGCTGTTCATCATCGTCCTCCTTCGTCATTATCCTTTTTCCTCCTGCTCATCCGACACCTCCTTCTCCTCCTCCTCCTCCTCCTCCTCCTCCTCCTCCTATGTGAGCCTAGTTTCAGGTCGGCTGCGACACGCGCCCTCGGATGGAGACACCATCAGCGCAGTGGGAAGGGATGGCAGAGAGGAGTAGGATATCATAGACGGCGCGAGCGCACCGAGCTTGTCGTATTCTCTCTGTCGTCCACCCTGCCTTACCTCGCATCTCCATTCCCCTTTCCGTCCTCCCTCAACCAAACCCCCCTTTTGTTCACCTCCGAAATCCACTCCTGCTCCACCGCCAGAGTCCCAGTTCCATTTCAAAATCCCGTGTAGACCTTCCCCCCTCCCTCCCCTCCCTCCTCCCCTCCCCCCTTCCTTCTCCTTCTCTTCCCTCTTCTCCTCCTCACCCTAGACGACGGCAAACGCGATGGCAAGGTTGGCGCTGATGTTGACGGCGACGACGACCACGCCACAAACCACAACGACCACGACGACGTCGACTTCGACATCCACGTCGACGTGGACGCCGACGCCGCGCCGCCGCCGCAGCCGCCGAGCACGACGGCGACGACGACGACGACGACGACGGACGACCGACGACCGACGACCGACGACCGACGACCGACGACCGACGACGACCGACGAACGACGAACGACGATGGCCCGCCGCCGGCAAACGACGGCCGAGCGTCGACCGTCGTCGACGGACGACGGACGGCGGCAGGCGGAAGACGGTTGCGGCAGACCCCCCGGCGAGGACGCGTTTGCGGCCTGGGCTGGTTCTGGCGCCGAGGGCGCCGCCAGCCCCGCGGAGGTGGCGGTCCTCGAGGCAGGGCGGCCCCCCGGGGTAGGGGGGGCGAGAAGGGCAGGGAGGGCCGCGGGCCGCAGGAGGAGCAAGACCTCGCCTCCTCCGCCTCCTCCTCCTCCTCCTTCTCCTCCTGCCCCTCCCCCTCCTCCCCCTCCGCCCACTCCTCCTCCCCATCCTCATCATCCCCACCTCCTCCTCATCGTCCCCTCCTCCCCCTCCTCCTCCTCCTCCGCCTCCTCCTCCTTTTCCTCCTTTTCCTCCTTTTCCTCCTCCCCCCCTCCTCCACTCCCTCCTTCTCCTCCTCCTCCTAATTCTCCACTCCTCCTCCTCCTCCTCCTCCTCCTCCTCCTCCTCCTCCTGCTCCTCCTCCTCCTCCTCCTCCTCCTCCTCCTCCTCCTCATCATCATCATCATCATCATCATCATCATCATCATCATCTCCTCCGTTTCCTCCGTTTCCTCCGCCCCCCCCTCCCCCCCTCCTCCCCCTCCCTCCTCCTCCTCCTCCTCCTCCTCCTCCTCCTCCTCCTCCTCCTCCTCATCATCATCATCATCATCATCATCATCATCATCCTTCTCCAGCCTCCGAGGCCCGAGGTCGCACTTTTCAGGAGGCACGCCAGACCCCCCCTCAGTTTCGTGAACGGGGGCACATGCGGAGGCCCTTCTCTCGCCTTGCCTGGCGGGGCCTGCTGCTTCAACCTCATGGCGTTCTTTCGTATCTGTGGCTTCAACTCTCTCCATGCAGCACGGGGGAGATTAGAAGACATCATGGAGGAGACGAGGAACTTTGATTTGGTTTTGCTGGGGGGTACAACATCGTACTCACTCGGGCCACCCAGTTTGGACTACGCGGTGTGCAGGGCGCTGGGTAGTGGAAGCACCCACCTCCACAGCACAGCATGCCAATGGATCTTGTGGTTGTGCGATCGGTCTGGGTCCAACCGTGGGGCAGGGGAGCATAGTTCAGACATGGCCGTCACCTCCGACGGCGCCTGGGCGTGCCTTGGGAGTACGTGTAAAATACAGAGCTGTGGATGTGTGTGCGATTGTGGTGTATTACCCTCCCCAACCTCAGAAACGCGCTCAGCGACCCAATTATTTCAAGACGGTGGACATTCTCACAACTTGGCCAGCGAACGTGTTATCCGAACTACCAGTCCGGTGCTTGCCTATAGTGTACAGCGACTTGAACGATGGTTTGGGCCTTTATCAAGATGGCAAGGTATGGTCACCCGTGCCACACCGGTGGTGGGGACTTCGAGCCGAGAGAGATTGTCGAGAGGAGCGGGGTCACGCGTGTGTCAATTCATGGCGACACACCTTATGATGGCAGCGAACACCTTCCGCGGGGATGTGCCAGAACCGACTTTCTTTGGGTTGACGGGGAGTTCTCGGATAGACTACGTACTTAATACCACAGGGATGCAGTAACCATATCCGTGTGTGTAGACCTCGCGACCGTTTGGGGGCCAGGTTGCAGGCCCTCGGGGGCTGCCCCCCCTAAGGACCACCCACCTCTTGCATGTGTGCTACGATGCGACAAACATGGTAGACGCCAGGATGCAATGCAGACAGACAAGGGGGAAAGGTGGGACCAGGACGGGATGATGCAGGCGGTGCGGGAGGGCAAGGATCGAGATTTGTTTTCAGAGCAGGTCAATAGGGAGCTCGAGCGAAATACCCACGTACCTTGGCTTAGGGACCAGGCCTCGGCGGATAAGATTTTCGAACATCTGGAGGGCGCCTTGGTTCGGGCAGGGCAGGCACGGTTCGGTGCAGGTGCCGATCGTGCGACTCGATGCCGGGAGGCCTTCCGACGCCGTCGCGAGTTCTTGGCTCACCGGGCGGACCTTCGGGGGGACAAGGCGGGCGCTTCCGAGTGGGAGGTGGCCGCCTTCGATTCTGAACTCAAGCAGCTATCCCACGAGCTTTTCCTGGTCAGACGGGCTCACAGACGAGCGCAGCGAGCAACTCTTCTGCAAGAGGCCAGGGAGCGGTGGACGGGCGGGTATGTCTCTGAGGGGGTGTGATTAGCCAGGCGTGCGGCTCAGTGTCGATATGGAGCCAGGAAGCGAGACAGACGCCTGGTCAGAGGCATGTTCCCCACCCGGGCCGAATGGCTCGCGGTATGGTCGCTCTCGGGACCTGAAGGAGGGATGCAAGCGCAGGAAATCACGTGGGAGGAGTGGAGGAGTAACAGGGAGGATGCGGGGGGCGGTTACAGACTTACGGGGTCGGAGGAGGTGAAGGAGGCGGCGAAGGAGGACCTCAAGGCGATCCGACGATACGTGCGACGAGCGCCGAAGCGACGTGCCGTGCCTGCTGGAACGGCCCCGCTGGAGTTGTGGCAACAGCTATTGTGGCCAGACTATCGTATGCGTCAGCGCAGGGGCGTGGGCAACACTGGAAAAATGCCGACTACACCGCTCTTTTGGCTCTTGCTTTGTATCGGCCTGCAAAAGATCAGGGAGTACAGTAAGATCCCTCTGTACTGGGATCGGTCGAGGGGGGTCGGGCTACACAAATCACTGCTGCGGGGGCCGCGGGGCAAGAGGGTAATCCATGTGCTTCCGACGTTGGGCTAAGCTTATTTTGCCACCAAGCTTCGGGCCGATGCGACGATGCAGGACCATGGGTTCATCAGGGAAGGGAGGAGGGAGAACGCCATCCTGACAGCTCAGGTTACTAGCTGGCGCCTTCGGCGCCTCGGCCGCACACACTGCATGTCTTTGAAAGACCTCAGCAATGCAGTTTCGAGGAGTTCTCTGTGGACGGAGCTCGATGCGACGGTTTCATTTTGCGCGTCCTCAGGGGATGTCGACCTGTGCCGACAACGCTATCGCAATGCGATCATCGAGTTGGAGGCCAATGGTTGCCCGTTCGGTGTCCGCCCTCAGTGTGGAGATGTGATGGGGGCCCCTTTTTACAGTGCAGGGGTTCCTGGGGACTTTTGGACGGGCCACGACGTCTTGGGGACACCACGTTTTTATAACCGACCGTTCGGCCCAGGTGTGGATATCGAGCTGGCAGCAGTTATCCGTGGACTTGAGCCTAATAAAGTATGCCGACGACCTTAACAAGCTAGTGGTCGTGGATATGGGTAGCACGTTCTCTGATTTCCTGCTTGGATGAGACGCTCGACGAGCATCTAGGCTTTACGGCTAAGGTCAAAATGCGGATAGGCAAGAGCTGCTTTTCTATTTCGCCAATCGGTCACGGCCTGCACAAATGGTCTTGCGGGGGCGGGGTCAGCAGGGGACATCGCCGATGCGAGGGAAGGCCAGGGAGTGCGCGCGATACTTGGGGCCCCACATCAATATGTCGGCAACGGGGCACCACGAGATGCCGAGAAGATGTGAAGCGGCCCGGCAGGCCTCCTTTCGACTGGGCGGGATCTGGCCCCTGGGGCTGCCGTGCAAATGGCGCCGAGCGCTCCTCCAGGGCCTGGCGGGCAATGCGCTTCTGAGCGGCTTGGAGCCGTTTGTGCTGACGGAGTCGGACTACAACCGTCTCGACGGGCGCCTGGCGGCCTTGTGTAGGACAGCTATGTTGGGGGAGGCTTGCGTTGACGCGCCGTCTGGTCACAATGCCAGCATGCCCACGTCCCAGGTCTTGCGGCACTGGCGTTTTGTCTGGGAGTCGGGTGGACCTCCGAATTCGGAGGTTTAAGTGGTATCAAGCTTGAGCTCGCAAACCCTCGGCCCGTGCTCAGCCCTTATGTGCGCTCTTTGGGGTATTCGGGGGGGGGGGGGGGGGGGCGATTCGGCCGAACCGCAGCTACGACGGGGTGCGCCGACGGGAGTGCCCTCTCCGTGGCCCGTGGCTACGACAGATGGAGTCAGATCTGCGCGCGGCGGCCCCCATCGTGGACTCTCGCAGCCTCGACGAGATCCTTGGGGACTTCACGGTTCTCTCGGACTCGCAGCGGGCTTCAGAATTCACGGTTTTGGATTTTGGGAGTTTGCGTGCGGCCGAATTCGCGGCTCGGATACCGCCCCTTGAGCACCGAAATGGGCTTCTGGAAACTGGAGGGGGGAAACTCAGTACAAAACTGTCGTTTTGCACGGAATTCCCCCCCCCTGCGTTGTGGACCGACACCGACGCCGACGGGGCTGGAGGTTGGGATTGCGGCTGTGACGACGACGACGACGACGACTTGGTCTGCGGACGAGGGGGGGGACTTTCAGTACGTTGCGCAGACGGCTGGCGGAGGGATCTGTGGGGCACGGCTCACGACCCAAACGTCCCTCCTCAAACATATGGCCCAAGCACACCACCTCCACAACCTCGCTCATGTGCTGACCCGGACTAACATTTGCATCGGGTGTCGACAGGTGTTTAAGACTCGAATCACGGCTGCTCGCCATTTGGACGGCTCAATCAGGAGAGGACGGTGCGACAAGGGGGCTCCTGGGGCCACGCCGAGGAGTAACGAGGTCCTGAAAGACCCGCGGTCACTAAAGTGTCCAGTCTGTCACCACGAGGCGGGGGGCCTCCCCGAGCTTTGTAGCCATCTCCGCGGCCATCGTCCGACCGTCCTGAAGTCAGTGCCCATCCAGTGTTCTGGCAGAGAGTTCGGCGAGGATGCCGCTGGCGATGCCTTCGTGGCCCAGCCCAGCGACCCAGCCAGGCGCCGTCGCCGGCGGCGCCGACGGAACCGCGCCATCTTCGAAGCACCAGCGCACGGGACACAGGGAGGACAGCAAGGACGAGCTCACGAAGCTGCTCCACGCTATCGGTCGCTTGGTGCTCGCGCATGCTCGCGCCGCGGCAGATCTACAGGCAGTGGTGTGCGTCAAGTTCATGCCCCCCCCTGTCGCGGGGGCCCCCAGCGGCCATGCAGGCGGCGGGCAAGAAGGACGAGGAGGGCAGCAAGACCATGCCGGCAACGCGACGCAGGACCAGTACAAGGCACGCGGCCCGCCCCAATTCCACGTGTTTCTGGCAGCTTTTCCAGTACGCGGCGGAGCGCGGGGCGGCGGAAGGCAAACAGGACGAGAAGACCAACGCGCTCGAGGCTCAGCAGGCGTGGGAGTCCAATGTCCCGTCGGTCGAGATGAGCGTGCTGGCGGAGGCGGTCCTCTAGTTCTGGCTCAAGGTGCTGCGCGCGGAGGAGGAGTTGCAGGGGCAGCAGTGCCTCGATCGTCCGCCCGCGCATCCTGAAAGTGATCTCGTTCGAGGGCGGAATCGCATTCCATGGCTCGGCCCCGCGTTGCCCTCTGGAGAGGGACATCGCCAAGGCTATGAACCAGGCGAAGTAGCTCAGCCCGCCCTGCGCTTGCGAGAAGGAGGTCGCGATCGGAGGCGGGGACAATTTTTTAGCAGTTCGGTTCCCTTAGAAGAGTTGGAGGCTCGAGGTAGCATCATTTCGGAGATGACGGCGAAGGCTCGCTCGGGCTCCCGGGACACTCACAGCTATGAGGATGCTAGTCTGCCCGTCCGTCCGCCAATCCATTTACCTGGCCACGGCCGAGGCTCTCAAGGCAGACGTGGGGGTCGCGGGCGCCGTGGAGGGAGAGGCGCACCTAGTGCCTGTGTGGGCGCCTCCCGTAGGGTCGCTTGCCCCAGAGGGGGTGTTCGCGGGCTTGTGCCCTGATGGGGAGTGCAGGCGAGGCACGATAACTTGTTCATTATTTCCTCCGCGTTGGGATGCAAGGTCCCGTTTCAGAATCCAGTTCGGTTTAGTGGCGCGTGAGTGGCAGGAGCATGGTGGATTCCCCGAGGTTCGCTCGCTCGCTCCTCCTTCTCCTCCCCTTTCCGCCTCCTCCTCCTCCTTTTCCTCCTCCTCCTCCTTCCCCATCCATTCTTTTCCCTTACACATAACTCCGCCCGAGGCGCGTCGGCAGGGCGGGAGCTAGGCGGTGTGCTTCAGACGCCCCCACAATGCATGATTTTCACATTGAGAGATTGGAACCGCTGTTCGGTTGGAGGGCAGGCCGTTTTCAAGAATTGGCTCTCGCCGTACCGGTCTGCTTGATTTGGTGGTTTTCAAATGTTGGATCTCGCCTCAGTGCTGCGCTCATTCGTCGCAGAAGATTGTAAGGGCTTCACGGATGGAGGGCAGGTGGTTTTCAAAATCGGAGGTTGGGGAGTGATATCGCAGAGGAATGGAGACGACCAGCCGGGAAATCGTTTCGTTCGTGTCGTGCGTGCGGGTGAGGCGAAGCTGCGTGGGCGCGCGACAGGAATGAACCCGCCGTTGCAAGGGCGAAATCAAGACAAATGATTATCCCCCGTCCGTCCGTCCGACGGACCCTAGCGGTGTCCCGCGGTGTCCCGTGGTGTCCCGTGGTGTCCGCCGTTGCTAGGGCGAAGTCAAGACAAATGACTCTCCCCCGTCCGTCCGTCCGTCCGTCATTCCGGCGGTGGCCCGTGGTGTCCTGCGGTGTCCCGTGGTGTCCCGTTTGTCCCGTGGTGTCCGCTGTTGCTAGGGCGAAGTCAAGACAAATGATTATTCCCCGTCCGTCCGTCCGTCCGGCGGTGGCTCCCGATGTCCTGCGGTGTCCCGTGGTCCGTGGTGTCCCGTGGTGTCCCGGGGTGTCCAGTGTCCCGTGGTGTCCCGTGGTGTTCCGTGGTGTCCCGTTGAGTGAGATCGATAGTTAGATCGATATTGCGATCGATACTGAGATCGATGTGGTGCCCCGAGGTGTCGCGTGGTGTCTCAAAAAGTGAGATCGATAGTGAGTTCGATACTGAGATCGACAGGTGTCCCGTGGTGTCCCGTCGTGTCCCGTTGAGTGAGATCGATTGGGAGATCGATAGTGAGATCGATGTGGTGTGGTGTCCCGATGTGTCCCGTGGTGTGCCGTGGTGTCCTATGGTGTCCCGTTGAGTGAGTTCGGTAGTGAGATCGATAGTGAGTTCGGTAGAGGGATCGTGTGGTGTCCCGCTGTGTCCCGTGGTGTCCCGTGGTGGCCCGTGGTGTACCGTGGTGTCCCGTTGAGTGAGATCGATCGTGAGATCGATATTGAGATCGACAAGTGTCCCGTGGTGTCCCGTGGTGTCCTGTTGAGTGAGATCGATGGTGAGATCGATGTTGAGATCGATAATGAGATCGATGTCAAGTCCCGTGGTGTCCCGTGGTGTCCCAAAAGGTGAAATCGATAATGAGATCGATAGTGAGATCGACAGGTGTCCCGTGGTGTACTTTGGTGTTCCGCTGAGTGAGATCGATAGTGAGATCGATATTGAGATCGATACTGAGATCGATGTGAAGCCTCGAGCTGTCCTGTGGTTTCCCGTGGTGTCCCAAAAAGTGAGATCGATACTGAGATCGGCAGGTATCCCGTGGTGTCCCGTGGTGTCCAGTTGAGTGGGATCGATAGTGGGATCGATTGAGTCAGATGTTGGTTTCCCCCCTCTCCACCCCCCACAACCTCCTTATCACCCGAAGGGTGGTCGTATAGGTACGCCTTTCGTTTTAGCGCCGCGTGCACTCGCTTAGAACATTGCATGACGTTCGTGGATGGAGGGTGTTGATTTCAGTATATGTGTGTGTGTGTGTGTGTGTCTCGCCATAGTGCCGCGCACAGTTGTTTTTAGAGCTTGCAGCAGTTTCAAGGCGTCTTATGGCTCGCGCTCTAGAATTTGTGTGCTCGGCAAGATCTTGGACAGTCAGGGGCAGCATTTACGTTGATTCGCGGTGTTGCAGTCCAAGGAAAGATGCTTTGGCACGGTTCAGGATCGTCGGGACGCAACAGTAACGTTGATTCGCGGCGTTGAAGTCCAAGGACAGGTGTATTAGCACGGTTCAGATTTTCAGATCATCATTTTCCAACAGGGCACCTCCCTCAGTGAACATGGATTCTTGTAGAGACCCATCAAGAAGGATGTCGGAAGGAGGGGTTATTGCGATATCGTTGATGGATGTGGGGTTTATAATGGTCTTCCTCCTGTTACTCCTCCTCGTCGTCTCTTTCTCCTCGGCCTGCTCCCCCCATCCCTTTCTTTCACCTCTCCCTCCATTCCTACTCCACCTCCATCTCATCCATCTTCATCCGTCCTCGCGTGTATCATCCCCCGCTGGCGCGGGCGCGGCCTTCCTCCTCTTCCTCCTCTCCCTCCTCGCCTCTTCCTCCTTCTCCTTTCATTATTTGCTCCTCGTCCTCTCCTCTTCACCTCTCCTCCTCCTCGTCTCTCCCTCTCCTCCGCCTCCTTCTCCTCCTCCTCCTCCTTCTCCTCCTTCTCCTCCTCCTCCTCCTCCTCCTCCTCCTCCTATGTCTGTGCTCGGTGTTGGTTGATCCTGCCAGCTGCCCGCCGCGCAGGTGGCCGACTCCGAGCCCGAGGGCGCGGCGGCGGGCGAGGCACCCGCGGACGGCGGGCTGCTCTTCGACGAGGGCGCGCCCGAAGGCGCGCGGGCTCGCGCCGTCCCCCTGCCTCGCGGGAGGCGCGGCCACCCCGACCCCCCACGAGTGACCCCCAAGTGCTTCAAGCTGAGACACCGACCCCCAAGGGCCTTGTCCTCCTCCTCCTCCTCCTCCCTTTCCGTTCCCCTCTTCCTCCCCCTCCTCCTCCTTCTTCTCCTCCTCCTCCTCCTCCTCCTCCTCCCTACCCGTCCCCCCTCCTCCTCCTCCTCCTCCTCCTCCTCCTCTTCCTCCTCCTCCTCCTCCTCCTCCTCCTCCCTCCTCCTCCTCCTCCTCCTGTGTAGACACCATCGAACGCCTGCGAACACCACGTTCGAGGCCTCCTAGATGGGGTTCGAGCAGATGGGGTCGGAGGATCGCGCCGCATCGCCGATGCATCGGCGATGCGGTTCGATGCGGAGTCCGACCTTCTCCACGCCGACGTCTCGGACGCATAGCCGACTTCGCCGGTGCATCGCCGGTGCATCGGCGATGCATCGCTGGTGCATTGCCGTTGTATCGGCGCTGTGGCGCGGTCCTCCGACCCCATCAACTCCGACCCCATCTAGGAGGACTCTATCTCGGCGGCGAGCCCAGCGGGGAAGTCAGAGTGGGCGGGCCTGATCAAATGGGTAGGAAGGCCTCCGGCCTTCTGAGAAGTGTTGTCCCCCGATTAGGCTTGCCTCAGGGACTCTTACTTGGTTGAAGGTCACCTCGCCTGGAGTTCCCCCGCTGCAGGGTGGGACTTTGAGGTGATTTTCGTCGAGGCCAAGAAGCAAAGTATCTAGGCTCCAGTTTTCCTAGAGGAGAAGCGGAGACCACCGCCACCGAGAACCCATCCGAGAACCCATGGGGAGGACCCCTGGGCGGGGGGGGCACGCCTGCGCGTCACCAGATACCGGACGGCGCTCACGCGTGTCACCTCCCAGGGGTGGGTCCCCCGATGGGTCCCTGTTTCTCCCTTGAGGCTTTTGCCTGTTTGTGGAGTCCTTCTGGGCCTCTGTGCGGCTTCTCGTCGCCAGGGCCCGATTCTCCTCGGCGTTCCGGCCAGGACGCACACCGTGAGAGGTCGAGGGGCGCATGTCTTTTCTGGGCCGCCATGGAGAAAAGGCGTGCTTCCAGGGCCCCGTGTTCGGGCTCCCCCTCCTCGCCGCTTGCCCTCGTCTGCGCACCTCTCCCTCGCCGTTCTCCGACCGCCTCGTGGCGAGGAGGAGGCCGAGGACCTTGCCGCTTTTCTTGTGCACATCGCCCTCCCCCTGATCAAACTCCTCTGGCCTGCTCGCCACGACTCGTCGACGACGCTGCCCTTGCCGTTTCGAATGGCTGCTTCCTGCGGTTCGTCTTCTGGCCGCCCAGTGCAGGCCCCGGGCCTTCAATTCCGAGGATGAGGATTCTCGGACGCAGGCCTCTGTCTAGTCGGCCTCCGCTTCGCTGCCCGCTTCTCAGGCAGGCCCTGGATGAAGACAAGCCGCTCCAGGGCATCCCGGAACGCTCTCAAAGCCTTTTCTGGAGCCTTCCGGAACGGCCGTTGCGCCCGATATCCACCCTCTGGGACCCTCCACGTATGACAGGCTTTCTATCCGTTTCGAGCCGGATGTACCTTCGTGCCCGCGTCTTATCTTGCTCGTCCTCATCGTCATGTTCCTCGTCCGCTCTGGCGGCGTCTTGGCGGCGGCGGCTCCTGGCTTCTGCCTGGGCTCTCCAGCGGCCTCTCCGGGCCCCGCTCGCCGCCGCCGCTGCCGCTGCCGCGGTCGGCGCCGTCGGCGACCCCGCTGCGGGCGGCACTGCCTGCCGCGACGGCGGCGGCAGCGGCCGCGGCTGCCGGCCACGACGGCGGCCGCTGCGGCAGCGGTGGCGGCGACCGCGGGCCGCGGCGCCGCTGCGCCAGGCGAGGCGGAGCCCTCGGTGCCCGCCGCTGGGCAGCGGGCGGAGCGGCTGCGCGCGCTGCTGGCGGGCGGCGCCTGCGAGCGGCTCGGGCGCGCAGCCCCTGCGGCCGCCGCCGGCAACCGCCGCGTCGTCGCGGTCGCCGCCGCTGACGCTGGCAACGTTCCCATTCGATGGCAGATCATGGGAGTTTGATCTATCCTTCTACGTCCGGCTTTAGCGTCGACTGTGGTAGAATAGTGGGCGGGAGTCGATGGTCATAGCGCGGGTTTAGCGTCGGTTCGCGTCGATTTGGCGTCGATTAGCGTCGATTCGCAAGAGCAGACAAGATGGTATGGGAGGCTCCTATGAGTTGCCACCGAATTCCCAGACCTCGAAGAAAAACAACAATTGGACAAATGTTGGCTTTCGACGGTCCGCGCGAACGTCTTCGATCTGCGCTGGGGCCCCCCTGGCGGCGACTTTGGCGCCGACATTGGCGCGCAGAGTGCGCCAGGGAGGGGGGTCCAGCGCAAATCCAAGAACTCCGTGCGGACTCCGAATAGTTCCGAGACGTTGAACAATCCAATGCGGAGGCTTTTCGCCGTGTTCGGGGCCCTCGCAGGACCTCGTGTCCGTCAAAGAGCGACTCAAGGTGCAACGCCGGCCATGGTGAAGGGTGTTTTTGAATTCAAAACTTGGTTTTTGAATTCCAAGAACTTGTTTTTCAATTCAAAACGAATTGTTAAAATTCGAGAACCAGACTTCGGGCGACTCCAGATTGGAAAGAACAGCACGTCGGACCTCTGGAAGATGCCGGTGTCGTTGCTCGCCCGGGAGAGCCCCGCCGCCACTCACCACCCACCAAACCACCGCAACCCAACCCGAAGGCGTCAATTTGCCCTCCATTTCCAGTGGGGGTGGGGTCGGGGGAACATTGAAAGAACACATTCAAGCAGTGGCGAAGCGTCCCGGCTCGCCTGTAGCCCCACCAAACAATGTTCTAAGATTTTCTGTGGTTCCCACGAAATGTTCTTAGAACATTTCTGGCTGGGACTGAATTGTTTGAACACATCGGGTTTAGGTTCTAAGAACATTGTTTTTGTTATTAGAACAGCTTTGGGTTCTAAGATCATTTCGTGGTATGACTATAGGAATGCCGGGACGGTCGGTCCCTGCTCAACACATGGAACCCGTACCCCCCCCAGTCCGAAATGCGGGTCAAATTCGTGTCTTTGGGTTGGGTTGGGTTGGTTTGTCAGGTAGTCAGCCCACGGCTGGACTCTCCCCGACTGGTCAGGGCGCACCCTTGAAGAGGTCACTGGAGTGGCGGGATCGACATTCCTTGAGATCCGATGTCGTGACTTTTTCAATACGGGGTTCCCGGAAGTCTCGACCCATTCCCCAGCACCGGTTTTTCATCCTGGGCCGTTTTTTGACGGCCCCGAGGCCGGGTAAGGGCCACTGGAGGCCGAGAGTTGAGAGAAACTTCCGTCTTGTTTTGTTCCAGTGTGTTGGATCTCTGGGTTGTCTGTTCCCCCAGATGCCGCCGCCGCCGCCGCCGCCGCCGCGGCGCCCGCGAGCGGCCCGGGCGGCGCCCGAGGCCGTCGGGAGGCCGCCGTCGGGAGGTCGCCGACGCTGGCCCCCCGAGAGGGCCCTGGCGCCCTGGCGGGTCTGTCGGCCACGCGCCAGAGGGGGGCGGGGGGAGGGGCGAGGGCTTCTTTGAAGCACCCCTGTGTCGGGCGATCGCAAACATGGATTCAGGGGCGTGGATTAGCGACGGGCCCCGTTTCCATGGGAAATCGCTGATTGCCGCCGCCGAGCGAGGCGCCACCAGCCGAATTTTGGGGAGGGCACCTCTCCCGATACATGGATTTGGCGACCGCGCGCCAAGTCCATGGATCGGGGGTGGGGGTGGTGGGAGGGGGGCTCGCCTAGGGCTGCCAAACAGTGTTCTGAGAACCTCTTGTGGTTCCCACGGGATGTTCTTAGAACCTTCCTGGCTGGGACTGTCTTGTTTCATCACACTGGGTTTGTGTTCTAAGAACAATACTTTGATTCTTAGAGCAGTTTGGGTTCTAAGAACATGTCGTGGTAGGCCTATGGTAATGCCGGGACGGTCGATCCTGGCTCAATTCTTAGAAGCACCCCGGCTTTTTCGAAGGCGCGGGCCTTATCTATAGATGTAGGGCCGGCGCCTGCTAAGAAGCAGCCTTCTTCGAAGAAGCCCTCCCCCTGCCTCCATTCCCTTCGTGCGCACCGCCAACCTGGCCCACGGGAGGGCGGGGACCTCGGGGAGGCGCGCCCTCCCTCCCCCGCTCCCGCCCCCCCGGGACCCCGCCCAAGGGAGGATGAGGAAGGGAGGGGAGGAGGAGGAGGAGGAGGAGGAGGAGGAGGAGGAGGAGGAGGGCCCTCCCCCGGCGGCTGCGGCGGTACGTGCAGGCAAGGGGGCGCGGTGCTCGCAGTATACGCAGCGGCGCTCGCGGCGCACCCTCGCGGCGGCGCCAGCGGCGCGGTGTTCCCTCCTGCCCCGAACCCCAGCTCGCCTGTGCTTCGAAGGCAAGGATAACATTCCTACAAATGGTCTGTATCCTTATCCTCATCCTTATCATCATCATCATCATCATCATCATCATCATCATCATCATCATCATCATCATCATCATCATCATCATCATCATCAACATCATCTTCATCTTCATCTTCATATTCATCTTCATCTTCATCTTCATCACCACCAGCATCATCACCATCATCAGCATCAGCATCAGCATCAGCATCAGCATCAGCATCGTCATCATCCGCATCATTAGCATCATCATCCTCATCAGTTTCGTCAGCTGCATCATAATCATCAACATCAGCATCAGCAGCATCATCGTCATCATCATCATCGTCATCATCATCATCATCCTCATCGTCATCATTCGCATCATTAGCATCATCCTCATCCTCCTCATTTGCGTCAGCTGCATCATAATCATCAACCTCATCATCAGCATCACCATCACCATCATCAGCATCAGCATCATCAGCATCATTATCATTATCAAAATCATGATCATGATAGTCATCATCACAGCCATCACAACCATCAACCTTCCTCATTGTCATCACCATCATCCCTGTCCACCCCGCCGTAGCACTTTTGGTTTAGGCTGTACTCGAACACTATGTTACCTACATATACACATTGAAGTTGCATTCGCCGCGTGGGCATTCCGCAGACATTTGGATATGGCGATCAAGATTTTCGTTCGGGCGACGCTAACTGTCTCCGTTGCCAGCGCCATTTCAGTTGACATTCAGACGGGGGCTTTGTGGACGATGAGTGATCTGCCGCGTGCGGTGTTGAAATCAAGTGACAATGAGGCTTCTGGTTGTGGCAAGCAGTTCCCTGGCTACTACGAGTTCCCGGGCCTCAAATGGGCAGAATCTTGGAAGAGCATCGAGACCTGGAACACCACCGCGTGCGCTCGGTCTTGCGACGAGAACAGTCACTGCATCGCTTTCACAGCACATAAGCCCAGACATGGCAGGACGTTCTGCTCTTTTCATAGGGGCCTCCAAATGGAGCCGGATCACAGAGCCATGTCCTACATGAGGTGCGTGCAGGGTTTCGATTGCGAGGACGGGTTCCAGTTCACACATGCGGGAACTTGGAAGGGCGGCATCCCGATGGAAAACCTAGAGATGGAGAGCAAGGCGGAATGCCGTTTGGCGTGCAACGACAACAGGGGTTGCGTCGGCTTCACCCATCGCATCACCAAAGAGGGAGACTCGTTCTGCACCCACTTTGAGAGCGAGGACAACAAGCGGGGTCCTTCGCGCGACATGCGCTCCAGCACGTACTCCAAGTGTGCCCAGTTCCAGGCCCCAGCCCCGGTGGACGAGCCCAGCCAGCCGACGGACCGTCTCGGCTGCACGTAATAGTGACCCTCGCTGGCTGGAGTGACCTTTTGTACGCTGCTCTCAGGGGCGCGGGGGTGCCAAACCAAGATCTCCAGCTCATTGAAAAGTTCAATGCGGAAGTCTTTCGCACTTTTTGTGGCCTCCGTTGACACTCGCCTGGCCCGGGGACCGTCAACGAGCTACTCTGGTTTGCGAGCCTGGCCCTACGGAGAAGGTCGGCGGCGACGACGGGGGCGCATAGCCCAGGGGTGGGCCTTACACGTATGTCGTTCGGGAGCCTCACCGAACGCATGGACCATCGACGCCCCTGGATACTCGGGGGTGAACAGAACCTCCAACCTGACACGTCGACGTCGATTAGTGAGTCTGTCCGTTTTCGGTTCTCGAGAGGGCGCCGCTGCCGTCATTTCCCAGGCTTGCGACCGCCAGGTTTGGTCCCGATGTCGTTTTCATTAAACCACGTTTTACTGAAGGGGGTTCTTTCCATCCCCGAGATACATGTATTGATCTCCCCTGGGCAATTCGCCCCCATCGCCGCCCCCGAGAAGAGGGTCGGGAACGCTGAGGGCCACGTGTAGAGAACAGGGGGAGGCGTCAGATCTCTGGAAGCCACAGGGTCGGTCGCAGGCGGCCGCCTGCGGCACCGCGGTCGGCATAGGCCGCGTGCCAGAGGCCACCTCCCAGTTCCCCAAGGGGGGGCCGCTCTCTGCGTGTGCAGCCGAGCGGGCTCTGATGGGCGTGTTTTCCACCACCACCACCACAAGTTAGAGGGGGGTCCTCCTCCTCCTCCTCCTCCCCCTCCTCGCCCTCCTCCTCGCCCTCCTCCTCCTTCCCCCATGCAACTTATGGTGGTGGTGGTGGTGGTGGTGGACAACAGGCTCAGCAGGCTCGCAGGACGAGGCGCCCGAGGACCCCGCCCCGGACCAGAGGGTCGAGCAGGTGGAGGCCCCGCACCCAGAGGGGGCGACCCTGAGATCCGGCGTCGCGAAAAAGTCGTGCAACGCCTTCAGAAATCACGACCAGAGTCCTTGTCGAAGAAAAATCAACGGCATAAGCATATGTGTATATATATATATACAGATATAGGTACATGCTGTCGGATGTCCGCGTGGACTTCACAGGGCGGCGCTGTAGCCCCCTGGTGGCCCCTCTGGCGCCGCACCTGGCGCGCTCCGCGCGCCAGGGAGGGGGGTCCAGCGCAGATCCAAAACACCCGCGCAGAGCTCCAACAGTTTATGCTTGTACCGTTTTTCTGCATCTAGACGGAGCCCTAGGCCCCATCTTTCTGCGGCATTCTTTCGGCCCTTATTGACCGGTGAGGGCGCAGATGGGCATGAAACCAGTCGAATGGCGCCCTGCGCGAAACAAATGCAACGCCCCAGGCCTCCAAGATTGGTCCGAGCAGATGGGGTCGGACGAGCGCGCCGCATCGCCTATGCATCGGCGATACGGCTCGACGTGGAGCCCTGTCTTCTCCACGCCGACGGCGCCGATGCGTCGCCTCGTCGCCAGTGCATCACCCATGCATCACCGATGCATCGCCGACGCGGCGCGCTCCTCCGACCCCACCTGGTCGGACCCCATCCGGGAGGCCTCCAACTGCCCGGAACTCAGGGGAGCATCGCGAGGCCCAGGCCCCTGCGGCCGAGGACTCGGCGTGAGCGCCCGGCCATGCCGCGGGCCGTGCAGCGAGAGGCCCGCGGGTGTCCCCCGCGCGCGCGCCCCGCTCGGGCGACCGCGGAGGCTGGCACCCGCCGTCTGCGTGCCACGCCAGAGGAAATGGCGCGCCGAACCCTCGGGGCTCGAGAGACGGGGGTAAATGCAGACAGGGGTCAGCCAGAGCGCCAGATCTTGCATCATCCTGCAGGGCCAGGGCTGATTGACCTGGGCTGGGGTGCAGGATCCTGCAGGGTTCGGCAAGGCCTGACTGACCCGGGCTTGGATTGACCCGGGTCGTTGCGTCCCCGAAACCACAACGCGGTGGGACGTTGGAGATTTGTCCGTATCCACCGCCTGGGGAGCCCCGATCTTCCTTCTCGTGGATCTAGCACAGTGGAGGTCCATGGGAAGAAACACCCTGCTAGCCGCCAGGGTGCCCCGGGTTTCTCGGGTTTCGATGGTTTTGCCACGGAAAGCGTGACGTTCCCGAACCAACAGTCAGTGGACGTCCTGGGGTCTCAGGGTTGGGCTTCTTGTGGAAGGTTTCTTCTGGTCGGGTCTCCACTGCACCGCAAGGAAATACGCAGCTGCCTGCGGCAAGCCCTGCCACCGCGCCTCTGTAACAGCGCAGCAGGACGGAGGCTCAGTGTAGGAACGGCGCAATTCCGACGAGCAGTCTGCATTGGGGCGGATCGTGATCCCGACCTCGTCTTTTTCCGCGCAGTTGGAAGAAACAGGAGGAGCAGGAGGAGAAGGAGGAGGAGAGGGACAGGGAGAAACGAGGAGGAGGAGGCGAAGGCTTCTTGGGGCCTTCTTGGGACCTCCTGGGGGCCTCCAGGGAGTTTCCCGCAAGTTTCGTGGGGGCCCCCTGGAGGCCGCCTCGGGGTCTCGAGGCCGCGTTGATACCCTCTTGGGCCTTCTTGCGGCCTCCTTGGAAGCCCCTTGTTACGTAATTCTTGGGCCGATTTCGGGCCCTCTTTGGGGCCTCTTGGGTGTCTTGGAGCTAAATTGGAAGCTTTTTGGAGGGTTTTTGGGCCGCCTTGGGCGGTCAGAAACCCGAATGGCTGAGAACCTCCTATCTTTCAAAAACAAATGGACGATCGATAGTTGTGACCTCCTCGGGCTCTCCAGGAGGGCCTCTTGCAGACCTCTTGGGCCATCTTGGGGGCCCCTTGGTCTGTCTTGGGGCTGCCTCGGGAGCCTCTTGAGCCGTCTTGGGCCATCTTGGCGCATCGCCCGCGCGCATGACACGAAACCGACACCGATCTCCCGGTGAGGGTTTATCCGTTTCAGTTTGAGATTATCCCCCCGATATTCCTCCTTCCTTCCTCCTCCTCCTCCTTCCTTCTTCCTCCCTCCTCCGCCTCCTCCTACTCATCTTCCTCCTCCTCCTCCAATACATGGTGCTTCAATGAAGGGGGTGCTCCTGGAGTCTGGGCCGTGCCATCTCTGCAGTCGAGGCGAACTCGGGAGCACGTGCTCCCTTCGCAGTCCTGCGGCTCCACCTTCTCAGTTCAGGGTTATGTCGGGCGTGTCCCCCTACAGGGGGATTTTCGACGAAAAATAAAAGATACCCCCCAAAAATACTCCAAAAAGGTGAAGAAACATACAAAAAAAAAGTAAAATAGTCCCCAGACTATTTTTGGATTATTTCTTGCTTATTGTGGTTTTTTTTATTTTTCGTCGAAAATCCCCCTGTAGGGGGACACGCCCGACTTAAGTTCAGAGTGGGATGCCCTTCCGGAGAGCCGGGCGCCGCCTCTGCGGTGCTCGCCGGCGCCCGGCCGGCCCCGTGGCCGTTGCGCCTGCTGGCGGGGGGGGGAGGGGTCGCAGCTGCTCGCGCTGGAAGCCGCCAGGGACCTGCGTCCTTCGGGGGTGGACAGACCTCCTACCCTGACACGTCGACTAAGGAATTGGCCGTTTCCGGTTCGCGAGATGGCGTCGCGGCCGTATGTTTTGCTGGTGCAGGTCCGTCGGTTTCGGTCCCAGGCCGTTTTCACTCAGGGGAGGTCTACTACAGGGAGGTTTGTCCACCGCCGAATCCTGCGCTGCCCCGCCTCCTGTCCGGACTCTTCCGGGGTGCTGGAGGGGCCGCGGACCATCGAGGATCAGGAAGGGGAAGAGACACACCGACACAAGTCATCGTCGACCCCCAGGAAAACATGGGGAGAGATCGGGAGTTGGGGGGGGAGACGAAAACGCCGAAGATAATGTGAACATCTGGGGAATCCTGCCACTTGTGTCTATTGATTTGTGTGTCCCAGGGCCCCCTGGAAGGAGGGGAAGTCCTCCGCCGACGAGGGGCCGAGGGAGGCGGCTCGTGCCCCGACAGACGGGATCCCCATGGCACGTGGAGGTGATCTCCGCCTGTCGTCGAGGGCCTCGCCGTCTGCCTGCACGTGGCGGTGGACTGCCTCTGCTCGGTGGCCTTACGTCCGGCCTGTCCCTTCTACAGGAGAAATACTCAAAAATAGTAAGAAAATAGTATGGGGACTATTTTTGTAGTATGTTTGACCATTTTGGAGAATTATTCTGCCTGTTGTGTAAAACAAAGTCGTCCAAAATCCCCGTGAAGCGGGACACGCCCGACTTAATGCTGGCCTCCTGTTGTCGTGATGGCTGCAGCTGGGATCGTGAAGCCCGTGCGTTGTCGGGTATAGCCGGGACCCGAGTTAAGGGGACCCAGTGAGTAGTAGGGCCCTAGAGCCTTTGAGTTGGCCAGAATCACTAAACCAGGTTCTCTCGGGTGACGGCAGTTCCGGTTAGTGGAACGGGGCGGGGGGGGCGTTCCCTAGTACACATTTTTAAACCAGGTCCCACTAAACCCAGTTCTGTAAACGCCCGACTTTGGGCCAGTCTCAAGCTCCTCTTGCTCCACGTGGACGAGAGGCGGACGTGTGGCACGAGGTGGTCGTGCTGAGGAAGGTCTCGGCGGCGAGTTGCAAGGCGGCTCGCGGCGAGCAGCGTCCCCGGCAATCTTCTCCGGGCTGGGGGGCGCGCAAGCCCTGCGAGCGCCTGGAACGGAGGGGCACGTCGCAGGGCCTAGTTCTTCAGTCGCGGACCCGGCCCAGCGGCATCCACTCGTTCCGAGCTGGGCGCGGCGACGGTCTGCCAGAAGTTCTGCTGTTCCTCCGCGCGCGTGCCGTCGCCGACGGAGAAGCGCAGAGCGGGGATGGAGCTGGGCTTGTGTTTGGGGCCGCCCAACGCTTCAGACGGGACGACCTGGAATATAGTTTTTACTCTAGTGATTGGGCGTGTGCTCGAGGCTCTGCATGCCGTCCTGATGTTTCTCCTGCCTGCACGCAGCCGCGGGGTGGCAGCTTGACCGCGATGACGGTGGATACGCCGAGTGGGCTTCTGCAGTGCTATGCTGTCGAGTCGGACGCGGCGGAGGACGACGCCGACAGTCGCACCTTGCCGGCGGCGCGGCGTGGCAATGCTCGACCGCGCTGCGACGTGGAGCCAGTGAACATGATGATTTCCCACGACTGCGGCGATTCGCCGCTGGAGGGGGATGCCTCGATCCTCTGGTGCTTGAAGGACATCGCGCGCAGCGGCGAGGGCGGACGTGTCAAGCGGCACCACAACTGGGCTCACCAGCCGATTTCAGGAGGTGGCCGCTCGGTGCACGAGCACATTTTTGCACCGTGAAGGTGCTGGAACTCGCGGCAAGTGTCTGCCAGTTGAACATCCCATCGTTGGTCTCGCTGGAGGCGTTGGGGCGCTGGGCAATGCTGATCGAATGATCGCACGTGAACTCTCTCTCGGAGCTCCGGACTACGCCGGGGCCCGCGACTTCATGGGCTGGGGCCCCGGGGGGGCAGGGCGCCAAACGCGGCCGCGTTAGTCAAGCAGCGAGTCAAGCACGTCGCGGACAAGGCTCGCGACAAAGCGTCGGCGTTCTAGGAACTTCGCAAACGCAGCGAGGAGCTTCGGTGGAGGAAACCGCGCAGACGTCCCAATGAAGAGGATCAGGGCGGCGACGATCAGTGGCGACTGGTGATGGTCCTCTTCAGCACCCGAGGCGGGCGCCGAGATCGCGGGCGCCCCCGGCCAAGCAGCGGGGCTTCCTCGCGGGCCTCGTGGCGGAGGATCGCCTTCGAAAGCATCTTCCCTTTCCGCGATTCTCGCCGGCAGATTTGGCCTGCTGACTTTGCGTCGGAAATTGCAGCTCGGACCGCGGCGATGGAAATGGCAGTTCGTTGGCGGTGGATTCCTTCAGACACCAATGTTCCCGGCGCCGCTTCTCGCTTCCATCTCGCCGATGCTTGCCGCCGCCGCGAGCGAGAGCTCTCGCGACTCCAGCTGCGGCGCGCTGGCCGGGCGCCCCATTCTATCGCCACGGGCCGGGGAAAAGAACCGCCCCCCCCCGAGCCGCGCCGAGAGCGGCCGCGGCGAGGCGCCTGCTGATCCTTCGCTGGGGCTCTCGCCACTGGCCGGCGCCCTCCCCCCTCCGACAGGAGGGGGC